AACAGGGAACAGCTAGTAGAGCAAATGTGTTTTGCTGTTGCCTCATGGAATTGATGAAAAGTGCAAACCACCAATAAAGCAGATCTAGTTTTACTGTAGGATAGTTTGTTCTCCAGTCTCTCTTTAATTTTATTTAGTACCAACATAGGGAGCGAACGCCATGATTTCCAGCCTTTTCCACGTGTATGCCTTTGGCCTCACAGTTCTGTAGAAGACACATTCTTCTTGGTGGGAGAGTGGCATCTTGGTGGCCTTTTCCCCATCCTGGTTGAGTGGGTCAAATGTCGTTAGTTGGTAGGCTGCAGCTTAGGTCAACCTGCAGTCTATGGGATATGAATCATAGCAGGAAAGAAAACTGGGGCACTGCAGCTATTTCAGTTAAGCTGAAGGGTGCTAGGGAAGGAATGTCCCTGTTCTTAATCTCTTAAACATTGTGGCTGCTTCCCACTGTGGTTCTGGAGCAAAGAAAACCTTGCAGGTAAGGGAGCAGACACAAATGATATGGACATGGAAAGTATCAAGGAGTTTGAAGGTCTATAAAGCTTTAGTGTTGGGATGCGAGTGCAGGACAAGGCTTGGGTGGTGAGAAGCCCAGCATGGCACTAAACTGCACAGTGTGGATGAGGAGGTAGAACTGTGATTCTCTTTAGGAGAATGTGATGTAATTTCAGGCAAAGATCCAGAATTTTGTTTAAACCAGCTCTGTCTCTGGAAAAATGACATTGCAGATGGTGAATGTCATTTCAGTGTAATGTAATCCTTTTTATTAATTTAGTTAATTCTTCAACTGTAAATGAATGTAGTCCGTGTTATGAATTTCGGATGATTTTGAATGTGGATGTCGAATTATGACTGCTTCACAAACGGGTGTGTACTGCAAAATAGCATCAGGTTTCCATTGTCCAGTTTAGCCAGAAGAGCAGGAATGCCTACGTTAGGATGTTGGAAGTCAGAAATCACTTTAACATTTCACAGACATTGAGAATCCAGTGGTGGTTTCTGCGTTGTCTCAAATGAATACTTTGCTATTAATTATTTATGTACTATCTAATCTGTGATTTTTTTTTTTTAATTTAATTTTATTTTTTTAAGACACCTGCCAAGAAGTGCTCCCTTTAAGATGTTTTGTTTTCTGTAGTGCTCAGTTTTACAAGCAATTCTGTTTTGGATGTTTCTGACTGGTTGAGCAGGAAATGCATTAAACTGTTAATGTTCATGTGTCGATTTGTTATTTAAGTGTCAACAGCCAGTTTTTAATTCTTTTTTGCACTCGGTCTGTCTCGTCTCAGTCTTGTATCTTGACACCCATGCCAAGAGATGAAGGTATTTTCAAAATTTTTTCATTAGAGACCCTTTGTAGCACTAGCTGTGACTGGTGTGCTGGGTATTGTGCAGGTGCCAGGGAACATGAGGCCATATAAAAATCTGGAGAGGGATATAGGTAAAAAACACCTTGAGGACTGCAACTGGTGTGCTGCTCTGAAAACCACTTAGGCAGTTTGGTGGTATATCTTCCTGTCCTCAGTAGTGAACAGTAGCTTAAGTCCTAAAGGAGAAGGATTTCTATTCCTTCCAAAACTATTTTTCTTTGTTATACATTATAATTTGATATCTGCAGTTATTTCCACTAATGTATATTTCTTTCTGAGATTGGATGGTGTGGTTCTATAGAAAATACAGCATTTTATTCTTCAAATGATTGTATATATGCTCACACTCTGCCTCTGTGTTCCTTTTTTTAGCCTTCCTCTTAAGCTAGTGATGATTTCCCCTTAGACCATCTTTTCTTCACGCTCTTTCCAGGAGCTAAAAATGAGCTATGCTGTGCACATCCCTGTTTCCTTTTACCTTAACACATTAATCTAGATTAACTGATTGTTTGGCTTTAATTCTTCAACTTCTTTAATTCCTTTACCAGTGTGATTTATTTTGGCTGTTTTTTCATTCCTTGCTCTACCACCTGGAGGTGAATCCATGTGTTCACCCATTTTCAGTTGCAAGTGCTTTGTTGCATCTTTGAACCAAGGGTCCCCAAGTTCTCTGTCCATGCCTGTCGTCCTTGGCACAGCTGAATTCTCTCTAAGGAGCTCTTTCAGTAGCTTCCTCCACACTGACAAGCGGGCAGCTGCTTTCCTTGCACTCTGAGCATTGTCAGAGCTCTAGACCCTGGAGATGACTTGGATTCCTCCGTTCTGGTGATCACAGATGCCGTAGTTCCAGATCTGTTTATCAAGTATGTGCCTACCCGTCTTTGGCACTTGATAAAGCTGGGTGTCGGGGCTACCTGACAGAGGCTGCTCCTAAGAGGTTTCTGAGCACAGGAGCCTTTTTTTGCAAATGTTGTGAGAACTGAACAGACAGGAATAGTACTAGACTCAAGTATTTGTTGCATGAAGTGTAAGAATTTGCCAGAGGAAGTACCTTTCCAGTTTTTAACTGTAGTGTTGCTTTGTAATTATTCATTTGGCTGGAAGATTCCAGTCTTCTAAAGGCTAACCCAGATGCAACTTTGCCAGGAATTGCATTATTTGGAAAATAATAAAACTTCTATGAGTATACAGTCTCCAGGTGAAATTGAATGCTGAGCATATTGTTGGAAGCAGTCTGAATCTTATTAAATATGTGTCCTGGTGTTACAATTGCACTTCTTTACAGAATGCTTATATGGTTGTGAGTGGCTAGGATTTCTCTTCTTATGGTGGTGAAGAATGAAGAAACCAGTTCTGTACAGGGAGTTCGGATTTAAAATAGTAAATACCTACACAAGTAGAAGGTCAGTCATACTTTGCAGATTTCTCTGCCCTATGCTCCTCACTGAATCCTCATGAATTGTATTTCTTATCTGTTCCCCTCAGTTTGTTGATACTTTTAACATGAGGAAAAACTATTTTGATATTTTTCTGTCAGTTATTTTGACATTAATCAACATTGCAGATCTTGTTTTGTTTGGTGTCTGGGTACATCATAAAAAGAATTGCTGAAAGAGTTCAATTATAATATCAGCATCTCTGCCAAATGTATTGAGCTGTTCTGAAAAGCGGCTTGTCTTTTCTGACCCAGATACACAGATTCCAACTGTGGGAGATGCTGCCAGAAAGACTTTTGGCAGAAGGCCAGCAATAAAATTATACTGCAGAAAAACACAACATATTTTCAGCAGCACTTTATACAGTGTGACGAAAAATTACCTGTCTCCTGAATGCAAAGCAGAAGTTAAAATAAACTTGCAATTTAAAGTTGCAAACCTCTTATTCTGACTTTTAAAAGAACAAAAAAGGATATAAATTCCAGTTCTTTTCTATTATTGTGTCTGATACACCTCAGGCTGTGTTAGATACTCACTGGTTTGTTATTAGCAACCTTAGTTGTCCTTGCTGCTCTGTTAACATAAACTTTGAGTGGTCTTAGGGTGGTGTACACTGTAAACTGTAGTTCTCATGGGCAGATGCTGGCATAAGGGTAGATTAGGAGGGTGGAGGGTGTTTTTAATGATTCAGCTGAATATTATTGGCATGTGCCTTCTTGATGTAGCATTTAAAACCAATTTTTATGGTATTCTACTTGGCCTGGCTGGGTGCCTAAACGGCAGCTCACTGAAGTGAGGGTTTGGAGGACTGGAGTCCAGTGACCCTGGCTTCCTCTTCTCTGTTGCACCGGTAACACTTCCATACAAGGCACTACTCTGTGCTGCGAGGGGATACCAGGATGGCAAACGTAGTTCCTGTCTCCTTTCTAGAAGCTTATAGCTCCCTGATTCTGGTGTTACGTTTCAGTCCCTATGGCATGCAAGTACCTGTTTCTCCTGCTTTTTCGCTTTTCTGTTCACAGGCACTCAAAGGTAGCTAAGCATATTCATTACTTCTGGCTGTTTAAATGTCTGTCCCTTGGGAACACAACTGCTAGATGCAGGAATATATCCTACTACAAAGGCTTCATCTGAAATTCTTTTCCTTGTTTGTCTTGTGCCAAAGCATAAACTTCCTCTGTGAAGGATGGGATGTTTAATGGAAACATTGTTAGACTGTCATGGCCTTTTAATAACATTTCTAATGTGTCAAATCCCCAGTGACATTAAACCACATTGCAGACTCTACTCATCTCCTCTGTGACCTGGTTTGGAGACAGTATTTAGTCTTGTTTTACACTTTAGGGCCACATGATGCAGAGGTAAAGCAACTTTGTCAAGGTTGCCAAGGTCTTGGCAGTGCTAGTAGCTTTTCCAGGAAATTTTCTTGCAAGTGTGGGTGGCAGCCCCTGGGTAAGACAACCGTGCATTTTAATATTGTGCTTTTTAGTCTGGGCATCAGCTGCTACTTCCCTGAGGATGCAGGGACAAATATCCTGCTATAGCCTGGTAGTAAAATGAGGCTGTTGGATTTATGGAATTGCTGCTCACTTCACATAATGCTTTCTGATGTGTTTGGTGCTGAGCTATGCTCTGCTGCCTTAGTCCATATGGTTGGAGCAGATTTGATTTTAGTTTTCCTTAATTTAATTCTGCATGTTGTCAAATGTACTTTGTTCTGTATATTGTGTCTGCACTTTTATAGTAAACTCCCTCCTGTTTAGTGCTTCTATTGAAAATTTTCTCTCAAAGTCTGAACTATATTAGGTTTTCACTCCTGTGTGCATTTCTGTGAAATATTCTTAGGATGCTAATGACTTGAAAGACATCATATATCAGCTTCAACTCAACTTTCAGGATTTTTTTTTTTCCCAGCTTTCTGAGTTTTATTATAAAGATCCCATTGTAATTCAGCTGTATATGCCCTGACCTTAGCCATTGACTGCTGAGAAAAAGGGCAGGTAGAATCGAACTCGTAAATACCTTTGTCCAACAACTTATACTTGTCACTGAAACTTGAACCTGTCTTGAAAACACGGTGGTTACTACCTGCTTAAGGCAGAGTATTGAGAGGTGTTGGTGTTTTTGCTTCATCTGTCCAGTAGAAGATTAACCCTCATCATAGCTGTGAAACATTTATTTTCATTCTGTTTCAGATTTTCAAAGAACACTGAAAAGCACTCAGCACATCCAGAATTGCACCCTGAGGTATGTCTGTTTCCAGAGCTTGTGAGGTAGTTTGCAGACTTGCCCTCTAGACAACAGTCTGCTCAGCAATTTACTGAAACACCAGAATTTGCTCAGCCGGCTATCTTTGTCCATCTGCTTTCAATACACTGTACAAGCTGATAAGCAACAGCTTGCAGTAGTCTTCGGAGGGAGGCCAGGCTGGAGTGTTGCTTGGAGTCTAGAGATGCTGTACTGGGCATATGCTGAAGTCAGCAACACATTCCAGTGCCCTTCTCTCTGCCTGGAATTGCCAAGTTACAGTTACCAGAGAAGACAGCAAACTGAAAATGTGAAATGTAGGAGTCGCAGGGAAGAAGAGTGTGTGAAGATAGCTGGAATTTAGTTTGAAGAGAGAACTAATTTGAAATAGATAGGTGATCTGGAAACATGTCTCATAAAAGTCTCTCTGGCTTGCCATCTGCTGACTCAAAAAGCATATTATTGTTATAGAAAAGCAAAACAAGAAGACCTCGTAAAGAGCCTGGTTGCTTCTGGAGATGGTGGAAGGCACACTATAAAGTGTGGAAGAGTTTATGACTAGCTCACAGAATAGATAGTGCCAAAACAGTAATCTTTGCTTATTTTTCCTCCTAGCTGCCCCTGCTTGGCTTTCAGGATCTCTTAAGAGAAGAATCTGGTCCTATGAAAGAACATCGCCTTGATCGCTTCTGGGAAGCAATTTGGTAGAGTGTTAATATACCTTGGTTAGGGTATATAGCCTTCGTGATAAGAAGTGAGGTCCTTCAGGGTTTTCATTAGCTTGCTTTTCCCAGGTATTTTTAGTATGACTGCATTTAACTCTCTTGGGGTTTCTTCCTTGGCAATCTTTAGCTGCTGGAACAGACAGGCCCCTGCACAGTATTCTTGTCTGGCTGCTTTTTGTTTTACCCGATTCTATATCCTAAATTCAGTGGTGTGAGATACGAACAACTATTAGGCACTTGCTGCCAAAGCTATTGGTCCTGTAAACCCGATTTATTTCTTCTTAACTGGGAAAATAGCGAAGCAGGATTTGTTGTTGCCTTTCTCCTGGCATGTTCAAATCTCTATGGGATGCAATGTTTTAATTACTCCCTGTCACACCCCTGAGGTTTAAGCATCTACAAGGCTTTCAAGTCATCTTGCCTATCCCTCTGCTGTTGCCAAACATGCTTTTAATCTCTAACAATGTCAGGATTCTCTGACAGACAATATGCAACATATTGCTAGAGAAGAAGGATCGACATACAGGAGAAAAGGAAAACATTTGAGCGTATGCGTCAGTCTGCAGAAATTTACTGACTGGGCTTCCAATTGCTTCAAAATGTTGCTGAAAAGCTGATGCAACAATATGTGCAGCGAAAGGAAAACAGGAATCTTCTGCAAGGACTAGAGCATCTTGCTATGCAATGAGCTTACGCTTTCCTCTCTCTCACATTACCTGTTCTGTTATTCTGCTCTTCTCTTGTCTTACAGAGCATTTATTTGCAGTTCCTTATGCTGCCAGTGCTGGTGTTTGTTTCCTAGTTTAGTACAAGAGGGCTGCTCGTGCAGGATCTTCTAAATGTTGTGTGCTGTGAAAAGCAGTGCAAGGGCAGAAAAGGCGGTGTGGATGATTTCAGCTGAACATTCTCATAAGTCTTACATCTTCAGTTTGTTATAATGTGCTTGTCTGTTTTTTAAATAAAAATTTACAATTATTGCCACCTGAAGTCTTAGTTCTTGTACAGCATCTGACACATTCAGGATTGAGGGCTGCACTGGGGATTTCAACAGATAATTACTTTTTTATAATTAAATAGAGTGTGTTTGATTCCTAATGCGCATGCAACATAAAAATAGAGACTTCTTGAGCTGGTTTCATATAGAGCATATTTGAGATGTTGGATTTCCCGTCTTCCTCATATCAGAAACTTAGATTGCCAGGTGGCTGACAAACCACACTGAGATAAGCTCTAACTGGCATGGGAAAGTCGTTACATACGTGTGGGCACATTACGAAAAGTTGCCTTCCACAGTGACATCTGCTTGTCGTTCAAGAATAAATGGTTCAGTGACTGCCTCCCCATCTTGAAGCCTGCTTGCTTTAATCAGTGGTTTGACTTAATGTGCTGCTTTGAACACTTAGTGGAATTAACATGTCGTTTCTTCTGTTTTCAAGTTGTTTCTCTCTTTTTGCAGGTGAATTACAGAAAGTGACTCCCAGAGCATCTTGGCTGTATGAACTCTTGAGCTGTCAAGGGACTGAGAGGCTTATGAAGAGGTTCTGTCAGGCAAAACAGTGCTTAGCAAAGACACCGAGGAGGAGGGAAAAGGAGAAAGGGAGGGAGAAAGAGCTGAAACACTAACAAACCATGGTAGGTATTTGACATCTTTTATAGGGTTGCATTAAAAATATTCTCTGCTGACAGTCTTGCATGGGGCCTGACAAAACCAGAGTAAGGGGATTTTCTGACCTTGTGCTAAATTAGAGATGGTACTGCATGCTTTGAGCAAAGCAAATGAGGTTTGATGTATTGTCAGCCTCCTAAAACTAGAGAGTTGTCTTGTGAGCCTGCATAGCATGAATTATTAAATATGAATGAAGGGGATGCTTATAAGGTATTCTAATAAAACTGGCATTAGCAAGCTGTAGCAAACAGCATGGGTGACCTTGAACTTGCACATTGCATAACCAAATGCTCATATTCCCCTTCTAACTCTTCCTCACAAAAGCAAGTGTTGATTATTCATATTTGTGTGCGTGTGATTGAATGTGGTTCTATGCACGCTTTGTTAATAGTGTAGATGAAATGTGTGTAGTCAAATATACTTGGTGTATATTGTTTAAGTGAGGAGTTATTTCTAATCTGCCTGGTATTGGCTGCAAATTGGGAATGCCTGAGATGTTGAATTTGTAAAGCTGTGCAAGTATGAAGTATTGTGATGGTAAGATTCTGAAGATGTGTTCACAAAAAGGCAATAAACCTACCCAGTTCCTGAAAAATACCTGTGGAGAGCAGTTTAAGCATATTTGTATATTATTAAGTCCTCTTAAGGTTATTACTGAGAGAATGGAAATGAGAATAAATGCAATAAATTTTAAATACAGTTCTCTACACTTGTGTAGCTGATTGCTGCTGATAGGCTGTGTGTTTATATTAAA